CTCTCTCTCTCTCTCTCTCTCGTAGTCTGCAGATACCGAGAAGTTAGGTAGCGAGAGGGTGAGGGAGAGATGGTGGACTTAGAAGAGGAAGAGGAAGAAGAAGAACTCTCTCTCTCTCTCGTAGTCCGGTACTAACCTGTGAAGGTGGCGCCTTGTTGTAGGTACATCGAAGACGAAGCTGGAGCTATGGCGCCGCAGGTAAGTCTCCCTGGCCTCCGCCAACCATCTCTCTCGCTCCAACGCTACTCTAGCTCCTAATAGCGCCCAACGTTGAAGACTACTGCTAACGCTACTACAACTAGTGCAGTGCTCCTCTAGAGTGTTGTTGCTGAATCCTGAAGACTGCCTCCTGCCTCCTGCACGTGAAGTGCCTGGGAAGTCCCTACGAACTACCTCGTGACTGCCTGCAGCCTGTAGGGCGGGCCAGTTTTATATAGTGCTGGCCCGTCCAGGAGGCTGCTCTTGCCAATGCCAAAACGTGCTAGACCCTGGCGTTGAAGTTCAAACAAGGGTTGTCTTGAAAACAGGCCAAAAATGGTCTGTGCTTAAACCCTGGTCTGGTGCCTAAGTTTCAGGGCAGGTCGATCTTATGAGGGCCTGAAAATGGCCCTCCGTTTCAAGCTTGAAAGACTCGAGGCCTGGAGGGCCCCTTTTAGGCTGAAACGACACAGGGCCTGTAGGCCCTTGTTTTCAGGCTTTTAGGCTGAAACGACACAGTGCCTGTAGGCCCTTGTTTTCAGGTTTTTAGGCTGAGAATGCTGGTCGGGCCCTGCATGCCCATGTGGCTGCGCAGTATTCCATCCCCCTGCCCTCCTTGAAAGACCGAGCTTACTTGCGAGGGCGACGCTATCTGTCTGAGGGAGGGACCAAAGTCCGGGTGGGAGGGCAGGTTGTGAAGCTCCCTTAGCTAACCTTTGTCGTTCGTAGTGAGCGTAGATCAGCGATGCGTGCTCCTGAAATCCATCGAGTGTCGTTGGGATCGCATGCTTTGAATGTAACTTTGTACTGTCGAGGCTTGCTGCCGTACTTGCGATCCGTGATGACGCGGTCAACTTCCTGATGACCATCCATAGATGGAGGGTCTTGTGATGGCCCGGGAAGTCGTTCCTCTTAGCTGGTGTATATGTCACCAGCTTCGAGGCGTGAAAGACTGGATGGACCGTCAGATGCGGGGGGATGTTGATCACAAATGAGGGGCCATCGGACTCATCGCCCGCGGCTGATGTTACGAGCCATGGTCCAAACCACTTGGGAAGAAATTTGCCGAAACATCCTGCTCAAGTGCAAACTCTTCCGTGGAGACCCACACCAGACCACCAGCTCGGATGGGACATGGTACGCGACACCTGTTGGCTTGCTGCTGCAAGCGGACTTGAGCCTTTTGCATGTTTGCGCGGGCTTGAGCCAGCAATTCCCTGTACTTCCGGACGGAAAGGGGGGGATCAAGCAGCGTCTATGTCGGTTGTTCGTGGGAGGAGAATATCAGCGAAGATACGGCCTTTCCGACCACCGTGATGCAACTCGAATGGAGTCACGCCGATCGCCGAATGCAACGAAGTGTTGTAGGCGAACTCGATGTCGGGGAGGCGGTCAACCCAATCCTTCTGATTCGGATGGATGAGCGTACGAAGCATCATTTGAGCGGTTTGATGTGCCCGCTCCGTTTGCTCGTCCGTTTGTGGATGTCGAACCGAACTTGGTTTCATATTGGTGCCAAATTCCTGCATGAGAGAAGTCCACAATGTCAACATGAAACGAGTGTCGTGGTCGTTGATAACGTCTTCCGGTACGCCGTGGCTGCAAATCCAGCCGGTGTGCAAGAGGCGCACAAGTTCGGGAGCCGTGGCGTAGTACTTGCAAGGGAGAAATCGCGCATACTTACTCAAACGGTCAACGACCGTGAGGATGCCGTCGTGCCAGAGGCGGTCGCGGGGAAACGGACCAGTGACATCCATGGCAATGGAGAGGCTGGGTTCCCGTGGGATAGGCATCGGGCGCAAATCGCCGTAGGGATTGCGGTTGTGGGGCTTGCTTTGTCGGCAAACTTTGCAAGAGTCGCAATACCGAGCGACATCGGTAATGAGGTTGGGCCATCGGAATCGTTGCCGAAGTCGTGCAATAGTGCGATTGACTCCAAAATGGTAGGCGAGTCGGGAGTTATGGTACTCGCCGAGAAGGCGAGTCCGAAGATGACGGTTTCGTGGGACACACAATAAGTCCTTGCCTCGTGAGTGGAGGAGCAAGTACCCGTCGACGATGAAATAGTGGCTGGCCCACGGGTGATCCGAAGATAGCTGCGCATACAACGTGGCAAAATCCGGATCGGACTCATAGCCCCGGATGAAGTGTCGTTGGAGTTCCTCGTCGAACGCGAAGGCATAATGTGTCATAGAGCAAAAATCGGGTCTTTGCGAGAGTGCATCTGCTGCGCGATTGGAGAGGCCGGCGAGAAGTCAAATTGGTCGATGAAGCACATCCATCGTCTGATCGTGCTGCTCACCATATCCTGCGTCTCGTAGTAGGTTAAGGGGTTGTTGTTCGTGACCCATGTGAACCTACGACGCACAAGGAGGAAGTGTCGTCATCGCTTAAGAGCCATCAGGAACGCGAGCAGCTCCTTCTTCCTTGCATCATCAAGTGAATTGAAGGGAGGCACTTTGTGGCTGAAATTCTCGACGGGGTGCCAGTCGTCGCTGTCGTGTTGTTCCAAGACTGCCCCAATGCCATAGCCGGAAGCGTATGTTGTCACTCTCGTTGGCAGGGTGGGGTCATAGATGCTAGGGACGGGTGCCATGAGCATGGTCGTCTTGAGTGCTTGGAATGACCGGTGTGCGTCGTCATGGAATACGAATGCCACCTTTGGCGATTGTAATCTCGTCATAGGTGCGGCAATCCTTGAGTACCCGGTGATGAAGCGTTGATAGTAGCTCGCCAACCCCATGAATGAGCGAAGGTTCGTGCTGTTGGTGGGCTCGGGCCATACGTGGATGGCCTCGATCTTGTCCGCAAGTGGACGGATGCCTTGCGGCGTCACATAATGTCCCAAGTACACTAGCTCTTGCCGCGCGAATTTGCATTTGTCGCGGTTGGCTTTGTACTTGGCTTGTCGTAGCTGCTCCAAAACTGTGCACAGGTGCTCCACATGCTCGTCCAAACTCTGGATGTACACCAAAATGTCGTCAAGGTAGATGAGTACGAATCTATCCAGCATGTGTCGGAACTCCGTTGTCATAGCCGCTTGGAATGTGGTCGGGGCATTCGTAAGGCCAAAAGACATAACCAGCCATTCGAAATGCCCATATCGCGCCTTAAACGCGGTCTTGCAGCGGTCCTCCTGACAGATCTCGAGTTGGTGATATCCCAATTTGAGGTCAAGCTTGGAGAAGAAATTGGCGCGGGGCAGCCGTTCGAGGAGGTCGTCGATGCGAGAAAGAGGGCCGGCGTTCTTGACGCTTTGCGCGTTGAGCTTGCGATAATCGATGTACAACCGCAAATCCTTATTCTTCTTCCGGACAGAAACGGGAGCACCGTATGGCGAAGAGCTAGGCCGAATCCAGCCTTTCTCGAGAAGGTCGTCGAGTTGTGCCCGTAGCACACTTAACTCTTCCTCGCTCATGCGGTAGATGCAACCACGAGGAGGTACGGCCTCGACCTCGAGGATGATCTCATGGCGGATGGGTCGATCCAGTACTACTCGATGCGGGGCTTCAAACACGTCGCCGTAGGTATCGAGAAGCTCGGTGATGCATGGATCCGGTGATGAGTCTATCGATGGAATGTCATGGGGCGGGAGGGCGTGGAGAAAACACCCCCCCATCTCCTCGATGTCATCCCTGGTGATGGATGCTCGAATGCTTGCGACGGACACCACGTGGCACATGATCGAAGGGTGAGGAGGAGGCACCGTGCATGGGATTAGTACTCCTTTCCGATCACAAACCTAAACGGTGCGGCGATAGAAGTTCACCGGGTGATCCTCGCTTCGCAGCCATTACATGCCCAAGATCATGTCGAATTGAGTGTCCAAAATGTCAAAGGACACGATCTCGCTTGCATGCGGGGCGAAGTACACGAGGACAAAATCAATGCACCGGTCGATTGACTTGTGCGTTCGATCGTCGGCCAACGTGACTTGCGTAGGCTGCAACTTCCTGACTTGCGTAGGCTGCGACTTCCTCCGAACGCGTGGTCCAAGGCCAACGCGTACCATAAAGTCTTGGCTGATATAATTGCGAGTAGCTCCGCAATCGATCAAAGTGCTGCAGGTCGCCTCTCCGATTTGAATTCGTATGTATAACAATGGCGCGTCGATGTCATCGTACCGCTGTGTCTTGAACTCGCGGTCGATCTTCGCAACGTAGTCGTGAAGGTCAACAACCTCTATTCCGGCGTCCATCAACGGAGCTGATACCGCAGCCATGACATGCCCAAGATCGACCGATTGGGGGAACAGGCATCCATTGGAAGTCCGCGAACGTCAACGGGTCGAGCTCTTCAAGTCTTGCCCATGACGTTGAATCCCCGACGATAGATGGCGGCAAAGCTGCCGAATCGGTTGTCGATGGTGGTGAAACCGTGCATGTGGTAGATTGTTGCACGTGGAGTGGTCGGTCCAACGGT